CCTCGGCCTGGGCTCACAGTCACCGCCTGCCCACCGTCCACGCAGACAAAGGTGCGCTCAGGTACGCACTGAGCACTCAGCAGCTGTGAGGTTCTGGGTCCACACTGCTGGGACTCAAATAAGGCAGCAGTCACCTTCACTCCCTCCTGAGCGCATAGTGGGAGGAGGGAGGGGTGTGGACAGGGAAGGGTGTCCCCCAGAGAGGAACACCAGGACGTGCCCAGCGCTGCTTCAGCATGGTCGCATGACACGGAGGCCTGACTTTGCCAGCTCAGCCTGGCCTGTGCGGGTTCCGGGGGCCCACCTGCGACCTCCAGGAGGTGACCGAGGGTGAGGGCTGCTGCCCAGGTGTGTTCTCTGCCCACTGCACACACGGGGCCTCAGTTGTGCACTGGGACCAAGAATAACACACGCCAGGCCTGGGCCGCTGGTGAGGCGTCCGCGGGGCAGGATGAGGAGTTGATGAGAGATGGCAGAGTGGAGCCACAGCTCCCGTGGACTTTGATCGTGTTGTCATCCAAAGCACCCTCAGGGGACATCTTCACTGCATGTCGCTCTGTCCCCTAGAGCAAAAAGATGAGGCCAGAGCCCCAGCACGACATCCATGGGTGGAGATCCGAAAGGTCAGTCCAGAGACACCTGGTCGACCTCACGCCTGACTCTGTCTCCAGCTTTGCTGTGTACCTGTGGTCACGGGCAGCTCCCCAGATCCTTCTGTTTGCAGAAGAGTGATGGCGAGGAGGGCACCTGCGCCTCCAATCACCCAGGCTGGCCGCCTCCCGCCCTGCAGGGTCCTTCGGGGAAGTACGGGAAGTACGTGCCTCCTGAGAGGGCCCTCGAGCCTGTGGCCCAGCACTGCTCATCTGCCTGGGCAGCAGCTTCTGGAAGCCTTCCCTCGAGGGGAGGGCCGGCCACCTGGACCGGAAGCAGAAAGGGGAGCAGGAAGGGGGCTTCCAGGAGTATCGGGTCTGGGGAGTGAAACGCACCCCTTCCCTGAGTCACACACTCCCGCATCCCCGTCAGCTGGCTGCACCCACTGGACACCTGCAGGTGTCTGCCACTGTACGGGTGCGGGTGGCCCAGAGGTGCGGCACAGCACCCAGGGGCGCCCCCCTCTAGCCCGTCCAGGGAGGGCTCCACAGGCTTCGCACCAGCAACCACAAAGCCCCCAGTTCCTTGGGGTCCTCAGAACACCTTGCTCACCAAAATCCAATGCCACACCCAGTTTCTCTTCGGGGAACGCCATGTGTCTACGGCAACATCGGAGCATCTTACTTCAATGCAGGCTACGGATAAATACACACTCACGTACGTAAGCCACGGGACACAGCGCATTTCCACTCAAAAAGCAATGTGGGATTGAAGTGTATTTCGGCTATCTGAAAGCCTGTGCTGCTTTTCATTTATTTATGCACTTCTTTAACAAATTTAGGCTCCTGCCTTCAGCCACGGACTGAAACGCATTTCAGCCGCACCTTCTCCATCCTGTGTCATTTTCTTACAGAACATTTGTACTCTTCCATTTTTAATAACTGGAGAAGGTTGCTGGACACCAGCACTGTTTCCTCTCCCCGGAGGAGAGCAAGTCCACGTTCTCAGAGAAGGGGCTGCAGATAACTGAAAGGATTTTAACCCTGACCACTCAGGCGCTGAGAGCAGGGGGGCGGGGCAAGGGCCCGCGCCGGGAATGCTCCTAACTAACGCTCACGAGGGGCCAGGTGCCGGTGTCCCCAGTCAGATCTGTGCTCTGTCCACACCCCACACCCACACTCCCTCCCACAGGTTGGGGTGACAAACACAGCCAAACCAGCACCAGCTGCAGACCCAGGGACAGCCAGAACACGTGTGGCCCCCAAGGTTACATAACCCCCTTTCCCACGCAGCACGCTCCCTGGGTGTGGCAGCCGGGCAAGTGAAGCGCCACCTCTCCCAGGCTCGTCACACCCCACCTCCACCCTCCTGCTCCTGCTCCATCCTCCACGCCACGCTTGGACACAGCCCAAGCCCCGCCCAGGACCGCAAAGCGCCGGGAAGCCTGTGAGAGCCACCTGTACCACCTCCGGCAGGAAAGGCTGGGGCAGTGTCACTGCCCACTGGCAGGGAGTGTCGGGCCAGGCCACACCAGGGCCGCCCTGTGGACACAGGTGTAAACCAGGCACCACGGAGGCGTGACCGCCGGGATGTAATGCAAGTATGGAAAGTGTGACTGTGTAGGGAAGAACAGGAAGAAATATACACGTCTGCTTCTATCTAAAATTCAGTGGAAGGAATTCGTGTAAAACTAAAAGAAAACTGTCTTACAGAAAAAGGGAAGGAGTGGGTGCTGGGCTGCAGGGAGAGCAACTCGAGCGCTCTGAATATACCTTGACCTTGGGACCATGTGAACAATTCTGTGTCATTTATTTATCTTTGGTATGGGGGTCTTACGAAGCTGCCCAGGCTGCCAATGAGCTCCTGGGCTCAAGTGATTCTCCTGCCTCAGCCTCCTGACTAGCTAGGATTATACCACAATAAACAATTTAAACAGCTATAAAAATTTAATTTTAAACTGGATGTGGTGGCACATATTTGTCATCCCAGCACTTGGGAAGCTGAGGCAAGGGGACTGCCGAGAGACTGAGGCCAGCCTGGGCTACAGAGTGAGATCCTGTCTCGAACCACTCCCCCCAAAGATCAAAAAGCATTTAACTTTACAAAGAAGTCCAGAGCTGCATAATGGATGCGATGACATCACGCACCTTGACAGGGTGCATGGAGGACAGGCTACCACGTCGGTGACACTGGGCAAAGCTGCGTAGCCAGAGCCTCTCCATGAGGCAGCAGAACACAATGCGAGCAGAGGAAACCCTTCAGATAACTGGCCCACCCTGTCCCAGAAAGACTTCAGCAGAGGAGGCGAGAGGGTCAAGGACAGGACACCACGCATGACGGGGAACTTTCCTCGGCCACAGGGGACCCGGCGGGGCGACGGGGAGGCAGAGAAACGTGGCAGTCTAGATCACGGCCGGCAGCAGCGCTGATTTCCAGGTCTCTAATAACCCCACCGCGGTCAGATAGGAGAACAGTCGAGGTCTGAGGAAACACACCCAGGGCAGCGCAGACACATGGACAGGAGGGCGTGCGGACAGATGGATGGACAGACAGGAGGGGGAGGATGGACAGATGGTGAGACAGTGAGGCAGTCAGGGGTGGCAAAATTTTAACCCGAAAATATTCGGGACTTCTTTGCAAGGCTGAAAGTGTGTCCAAGTAGAAAGTTAAAAGAAAACAAAGTCTCTGAAGCCTGAAGAGAAGCCAGCCGTGTACTGACTCAATTCTCACCGACACGCAGAAGAGGCTCCCACTGGTGACTTTAAAGCAGGGATTCCTGCCTCCCGCGGGACACCCCGAGGATAAGAGAACTAGACGCAGACACCGGCTGTGCTTCCAGTCGCGGCTGGCGGCGGTCCTGGTATTTTATCCTGAGTTGTGTGTGTGTGTTTGCGGGACACAACCAATGAGTAATGCTGGCGTCACTCCCTGCAAGCCAGGATTCCATGAGAGAAGGGAGGAGGGGATCTTTCGGGGCTGAACAGAAGCCGGGGCCAGGACGTGGCCTCCTGTCCAGTGCTCTGTTGGAGGCCCTGCGGGCGCTGGCCACAGCCACTCAGCAGGCCGGGCACGACGGCGGAGGCGCGGTGAGGGCCTCGGTCCCTGCTCCTCCTCGGCAGCAGCCAGCGCTGTCTGGCCAATAGCCCGCGCCAGGCCTGGGCAGGGAGTGTGTGCAAAGGGCCTGAACGTCTTGTCACGCCGGGATGGGGACTCTGAAACACTGCTGGAGATTTCAGAAGCCCAGTAGATAAAAACCTGATGATTAAGACACATCAAATGTGCTCAAATGCGAGCTCTCCTGATGACATCACAAGCCAGGAGGCCACGCCCTCACCGCAGGGCAGGAGCGGATTCTCCACCTTACACCAGAGAGCAGCAGGACAAAGAGCAGGTGCACAGCCTGCCTTTCCTGTGGGGCCCAGACCTCAGGGCCACCAAGCTGGTGGCAAAGGGAAGACTGCTCGTGCCTGATCAACGGCACAAGCAGGAGACGGCCATCCTACCATCCCCAGTGAAAGGATGACCGGGTAACAGCTGTCCTGGTCGGGACCCCAGAGAGAAGCCAGCTGTGTACCCGAACCCCCGACTCAAGGGGGAACAGAAGGATGGGTGATTCAGAGGGTGCTGGACTCACCCTTTCGTCTGTAAAACACACTGAGCTAGCTACTAAAATATTCACAGATGAAACAATAGGGTTTGGGCTGGGGTTCATCCGAAATGCCCAGGGAGGGAGGGGAAGAGGAAGCAGCCTGGCCCAAGTCAGTTCCTGTTGAAACAGACTCAGTGTGTCGAAGAGACAGCTCAGGCTGCTATCGGCTGCACTGCTGGGCGCATTTGAAATATTCTGTAATTTAAAAATACTATTGGGTCGCCCACCACCTCAGTACTAGGGAGGCTGAGAGCAGACGATCACAAGGTCAAGTCCAGCCCGGGCAACTTAGGGATACCCTGCCTCAACATAAAATACAAAGAGCGGGGATGTAGCTCCATGGCAGGGTGCCCCCAGGCACGGAGGGCAGAGCAGGCAGGGCTGGTGGACCGGGGGCCGGCGTGTCTCTCATGCGCGTGAGGCACAGACACAGTTTCAGACTCCTTCAAAAGCCCTTCAAAATTCCAAGGTAACCATCGGAAATGCACTGTGCCAGATTTGCTAAACCAATCTGAAATTTGGGGACAGGCTCCATTCCTTCTGCCTCCTCTGGCCTGGAGAGCAGCAGATGGGAGACGCAGGTGCAGGAGGCCGAGGGCATGTGGGGACGTCCTGACTTCCGAGCCCAAAGAGCCACACAGACCCACGTCTGTCCCCACATCCAGTGGAAAGGCTCCTGGGCACACGTGGGCAAGACGACGTCCCCGCCTCAGCCCCACTCCCGCAGGTCCCATCCCCAGCAGCGCTTCCTGGTACTCACGCAGGAAGTGCTTCTCCAGTAAGGCGATTTCCAGGTGGCCCTTGATCTCGTTCAGCCGATCGAACTCTGTGCGGTTGAAGTCCTGGGGGCCTGTGGCCATGATGAGGGTCCCTGGACCAGCCTGGAAGGGAAACATCAAGAGCTCAGAGGCGGCCTGGGTCCCTACCAGGCAGATGAACGGCATCCAACGCCCAGCGCGGCAGGTTAGCACGATGACCCCAGGTCCCTTCTGCGCCTGCCTGAACCCCGGGAAGGAAAAAGACACGGCTCTGCTGTAAGACTCCTAGCAGCCCACTCAGGATCTCAGACTGGGCGGACACTCTGGGTGCCGGTAGGAGGTCCACGTGAAGGAATAACAGGGAAGTTAAAACTCTTAAGCGCTACCAAGTGCCAGGATGGTCACGGCACCAATCCTGGGCTGCAGAAGGAAGGAAGTGGGCAGCTGTGCTGGCAGTATGCCCAGGGTGCTGCGGCCCAGCCAGAGCATGACGGCCACCCTGACAGCCAGACCTGAGGCTGAGGCTGAGGGTGCAGCCACAGCACACAGAGCACACAGGAAAGGAGGCAGCTCCCGGGCACCCAGAGCAGAGAGAGAGGAATCAAGGACAGCCACCTCCTGTGCCCTCCACAGAGGCTTGGTAAGCCACTGCCCATCCCCGCAGGCTCTGGTTACAGGCCACACGCCCAGGAGGCGGGCAGAGCAGCCACACTGCACCTTGCTGACCGGGAGGAAGCAGAGGGGCCTGTGTGCCGGCCCACGCAGGAGGCTCACACGGTCTCTTCCCACAGCTGCTGCCAGGCGAGAAAGTGCATGGGAGTCCCTGCCAGAACGGGGACCCGACCTCCTCGCCTGGGCCCCAGACCTCCTCCTCCAGGGGTAGGGGTGGTGAAACAGGATCCATGCGCAGGCTGCTTGGCTGTGAGTAGCACGGTGGAAGCTCCCGACACCGTCACCTCCCTGACACTGTCACCTGCTCAGAGGCCGCGGCCTGGAGAAGGGGCTGATGGGAAGCAGCGGCTCCAGGCCAGGCCCTGGGGACCTGCCATTCTGCACTGTCAGCTCCTCTGGCCACAGGACGCCCGCTCCTGGGGGGAGGGATCAGGCCCTATTATCTGCTGCCTCCTTGGAGCCTGGCACCAGCAGCAGAGAGACACTGTGGGGAGGGCTGACAGCAGGTGACTTCATCTCCCCTGGGTGCCACTTGGGGTCATTCCTTGCACTGACACTGACAGGGGAGGACCAGACGTGGGCACCTGCTCTAGAAGCCCACAGAGCCTGGGTGCTGGGAGCCCACTGTGCACCAGTACCCCGGATCACCTGTCCACTGTCCCGAGAACAAAGCTCAGCAGGGCCCGGAGGGGAACGTGTGAGCCGCGTGCGCTGCGGCCCACGCAGAGGCAGCCCTGGTCCGGGCTCCAGTCTGACCTGGAGGAAGCTCTGGGTGCAGGGGTGGGGCCGGGCGGGGTCACTGGGAGCCAGGCGGCAGACATCGGCACCCGAACACCCATCCGCAGGTGGCCCCAGTATGGCCAGCCCCCGATGTGTTCAGACTGCCTGGCAAAGGCCACAGTGACCCGGGTGGGCAGCAGGTGCTGTGCCCACCGCCTCCACATGCAGGGTGGGCAGGGCTGCAGAACCTGCAGGTCCCTGATAGACTAAAAACAAACAACTTAGTGATATAGGGAGACCCTGTCTCAAAAGCAAAAATTTTAAAAAAGGGCTGAAGATGTAGTTCAGTGCAAAGGCCCTGTGTTCAACCCCCAGGGCTGCAAAAAAAGAAAAAAAAAAACAACAAAAACAAAGTCAGATGCCTGGCATCTGCCCCACAATCATCCAGCAGGGGTGGGGACAGGCCGCAGATGCCACGACGGCCAGGAGGTAGTCGTGGGCCTCCACAGGGCACGAGGCTGTCAGACACTCCCTCGGGTTCAAGTGTGCTGGGTGTTGGGGACATCTGCTATGAAAAAATGTTTCAATCCCCAAGCAAACTTCAGGTCATGTCCGACCCGCTCGCCTTCTGTGCAGCCTGGGCAGCTCCAGGCCTCCTGGCGGGCAACCCACTCCGTCCCGAGCAGGTGGACACCCTTCCCACCCCCCCCGCCTTCTGGACACTTCTCCCCTGCCCTCTGTGGGGAGTCACACAGAGCCGCCCTGCCCCGGCGTGGACGGCTGTCTGGAGAAGGAGGTCATCAATGTTGAATGGAAACGGGATCCGCAGCCCAGGCAGCTTGTGGCTCCCCCCGCACCCCGCCTAGGAAGCACCGCACAGCCCCGCCACCCTCCAGGGCAGTCTGCCCTCCACGAGCCCTGCCTGCCAGGGAACACATCCTGCCTGCTCCTCCTGGTTTAGAAATCTGCAGGTGCACAGCCTGAGGGCCACACCTGGGCTCACCATCTGCGGAGAGACCTTGCAGGCGACCCAGGTGGGCAGCACGAGGACGGCCCAGGAGTGGGCACAGGCCACACAGAGTTATCGGGTCCTGCCCTGCCCTGCCCGAGAGATGTGCAGGTGCTAGGTGAGTGTCAGGCATCACCTACCAGGGAGGATACTTCGCACAGAATCAGGAACCCAACACAGGTCCTGCTAAAGACAGAGCGCGTTCCCCGCACCCCCAGGCCTGCCAGCCACCACCCGCCTGAGACAGAGCCCTGGGAGCCCCGCAGGTGGAGCTGGAGAAGGAAGGCCCCCTCCTCTAGTGACAAGGCAGGACTGGGGGCCCGGGAGCCAGCGGCCTGGGCCTGCATCATCGGGGCTCATGTCCGGAGCAGGGATCACAACTCCAGGGGAGGAGGAAACCGCCGGAGCCTGCGGGCTGGCAGGGCCTGTGAAGTCCTCATGTGGCCCCATCCGTCCCCAGAGAGAGGAAGCAAGCGAGGGCAGGAGCTGCCCCTGTTCTAGGCCCCTGCCTTTAGCATGCCCGGGGCTCCCCAGGGAGCACATGAGAGTGACCCACCGTGGAAACAATGTTCCCATGAGAAGTATCTCTACACCCAAATCAACACAGTGCCCACCACAATCAGGAGACAGTGGGCAGAGGTGCCAAGGGGACACCGGGGATGCTGGGGGAAGGTGAACAGCAGCTGCCCTGGGGTCTGGAACCCACGCCTCGGGCCAGCCTGGCTCTGCCGCTGGCTGGGAGCACGACCCTGGCTGTAAAAACCACTCAGAGCCTCAGTCTCCACATCTGTCAGGTGGGAACAACGGCCCAGAAAGGAGCGGCCCAGGCCTCAGGGAAGCACAGACACCCTGGTAGGCCGCACGTTCCTCCAGAAGCAAGGCGGCCAGCTCAAAAGCCCAGAACAGGGCCAGTTCTGGGGCGCTGGTTCTGCGCAGCCTGCAGCTAATGGGCATTTTCATGGTGGCAGAGGAAACCAGGTCGAACAGTGCCACCCTGTTCCCAGCACCTCAGCCTAGGCGGGACAAGTTCCAAGGGGCCAGCGGACGGGAGGAGACCTTGAAGGTCCACCACACTGCCCATTTACCCGGCCAACCAGGGCACCTCATAGGGCAAGGGGTGGCCACGCCGTGGACAAGACAGCCATGGTGTGGGACAGGCCCTGCCACCCTGGGCGGCACCTGCGCGGGGCAACACAGGTCCGGAGCTACAGGGCCAGCCTGGCCTCTGAACACAGGGGACAGCACCAAACCACAAGGCAGGCCTGGTGCGGGAAGCTGAGCGGCCTCAGCTACATGCAGCGGCAGCCCAGGGCAGGGGGCCAGGCTGTTAGGGGGAGTACCCGTGAATTATTAATGCCTGCTGGGGGCAGCGCACACTCACGGCCCTATTACGGAGCATTAATAATACAGGAGCAGGGGAAGGGAGTGATGCGGCCACATTTGGAATGAAAACCTGGCTTGAGCAGGGAGAAAACCCCACGGGCCACGGAGGAGGACCAGCACACGGTGTGGGGGGCCCGCAGCCTCACTGGGTGGCTTTGAGCAGCAAGGAGGGGGTGCCACAGCCAGCCTGGGAAGAGGGGCACACAGCGCCCTTCCAGCCTGCTCTGCTCATCCAGACCCCAGGAAACAGCTTCTGGAAGGTGGGCACCCTCGGTCCACACCCATCCTGGCACAGCTCAGCTGCGGTGCTCCATGGATGCCCAATGCCCAGCCAGCCGTCAGGGTTCCGGGACATCAGTGGCACACACCTGGCAGGCCAGACACACAGGCCCTGCCTACCCAGTACGCTTCCAAGGTCGGGCCAGTCGGCGACACTTCCACTTGAGAAGTTTGCCAAGCAGAGGCACCCGGAGGGGTGGTGAGCAGGCAGTGGGGGGCAAGGGAAGGAGGGGCGCCAGGCCCCCTTCCCATTTGTAGCCAGCCCAGGGGGACAGCAATCCACCCACGTCCACACTCAACTCAGCCACCAAGGGCCTGGGTGAGTCCCAGCACACGCCGGGGACGGCGGGGACACCCGGGAGCATACTCACAGGGTCCCTGAGCTCCTCGCTGTCGCGGGGCGAGGTCCGAGGTATCTTCAGGGGCAGCTCGTCGGCGCACTCGGTGTCCGAGGCATTGGGCGACTCCGCGAGGTCCAGGCAGTCCTCTCTCTTGGGGCCTCTGAACCTGATCCTGTCCAGCCTCCTGAGCATGTTCAGCACCGAGCTCCTGGGCCTCACCTGGACATGACGGGCGGGCTCCCTACGAGAGAGGGGTCAGTCACTCGCCACTTGCCACCTGCCACACACGACTCCTGTCCCCAAGCTCCTGCAGGCAGGGAGTGGCCACAGACCTCACCTTTGCCCACCAGGCCAGGCCACCGTCCATCACCCCACCCCGCCAGGCTGGCCGCCCATGGGCTTCTCCTCCGCCTCAGCCAGAGCAGGCCCCCAGGCCCCAGAAGGGCAGAAGGACACCCAGGTCTCCAGTGGGCCATCCTGGCTCACCATGGTGACTCAGACCCAAGGGTAAGGGAAGAACACAGCACGGAGTGTGGGCTGGAGGGTGGACCGCTCTCCAGAAGTCCCTCTGTCACCAACACAGCAGAGGTACAGCTCCGCACGCTTAGGGATGCCAGGCAGGTCCTCTGCCCCCTGCTTCGCCCTTAGGGTCCAACCCAGCTTAGCCTCAGAGACTCAGCTAGGCCCCACCCTTTCCGCAAAGCCCCCTCGGTGCCGGGCAGGAGCCAGATGGGCGGAACTCCCCACGCCGCAGGCCTGCAGGGTAGGGCCAAGGCCCACTGGCCTCCTCCCCCAACCCAGGAAGCAAGTCATGTACTTGTGCAAATGCACACTTGTGTGCACCAAGGAATTTACACTCTCCAGTTACACCAGGACAGCCAGGTAGCCCCCAGACACCCAGGGGGTAGGGAGTGGCAGCCCCTCCCTGCGTCCAGCACCCCATGCCCAGGGCCATGTCGGGTCAGGCAGATGGCCAAGGGCCGCCAGCTCTGGCCCTGGTCCCTGGCCAGCACAGCTCCAGGCCAGCGCTGCAGCTCAGGGTGTGGCGCCCTCTCACTGGTCCCTGGGCACCTGTGCTCACAGCCCGGGCTCCCTGCCGGCTTTTCTGCCTGCAAAGCAAGAGGGATCCTGACAAGGCAGAGATGTTCTGGGAATCCAAGATGACACATGACACATGCTGGGCAGGCTCTGACCTGGGTCTGGACCCAGGAAGCCACAGGACCATTTCTGTGGGAGGAGGAGAGGGCATCGGGGAGAAGGGCTTCGGCTTCCTGCTGGGCCCGTAGCACAGAGCAACCCACCTGCCCGCTCAGGATGGCCCTGCCGCTTGGGGCGAGAGTTGGTGGGGAATTCAGACCCCGGCCGGCAGGCAGCGGAGCGGGCTCTGAGCCGCAGGGAGCTGAGGCACGGACCTTGCAAGGGAGGGGCCTCGATGCCCCGGGCCCAGGCTCTCAGCTGGGTCCCTGGGACGTGGAACCTACACAGGTGGTTCTGCTGACCAGCGTCCCCTGGAGCTAGCAGGAGCCCAGGGGTGCATAGCGCTGCACGGGGCACAGGTGGGGACAGGCCACCGGGTGGACAAACATCCCGTATAGGAACTGTGAATGCCAGAGGGGCTGAAGGAACAGTAAACCGAAAACCAGGTCAACAGAAAGAAAAAAGAATTTGCTACTCAGCAAAGCCTAGAGAGGAGACAGTGGTTGATATTAAGAGACTGAGCCGGTCATGGTGGCCCACACATGTAATCCCAGCACTAGGGAGGCTGAGGCAGGAGGACTGCCATGAGTTCAAGGCCAGCCTGGGCTACAGAGTGAGTTCAGGACCAGCCTGAACTACATAGAGAGACTGTCTCAAGCAAAAACACACTGAAAAATGAATTCAAAGAGCAAAAAAGTTGTCCAACAGACAACTGGACAAATGTAAAAACCCTCCACTTGGTAAAGAGTAAAGCAAAGCAGGGTGGCACACGCCCGTCATTCCAGCACGCCGGGAGACTGAGATAGGAGGATGGCAAGTTTGAGCCCATTCTGGGCAAGCTAGTGACGTAATGAAATCCTGACTCAAAATAAGAAGTGAAAGAAAAATGAGGAATAAAACAGGAGGCATGAGTAGCTAATATGATATATGAAGATGAGTATCTTGGTTATGAGACAGCTTGAATAAACTGGGAAAAAGTACAAGCCCACCTCCTAACTCCTGCGTAAGCTGCCAACACTGCCCACGCCCACCAGGAACCAGCACTGGGAATCTCACCGAGGACCCAGCACGCGGAGGCCCTGATCAGGGGCTCCGCCCCAAGATGCCAGTCTAGGACCAAATCCAACACACGAAGTCCCTCTCTGCTAGGAAACGTCCCTCAAAAGCAAGGGAAGACAGCACCACGCCCACTGCGAACCCCGGTGCGCCGGGCCTCTGCGGCGTCCATGTGGCCTCCTGCAGGACACAATTTGGAATGTGACCTTGCTGCAGTCAGGTGACCCTAAGGGGTGAGTGATGAGACACAGGGTACGCAGGGCGCTGCACCACAACGCCAGCTCAGGGTGGTTTTTAACTGTTCTCTCTCCAGGGCTGGCCCTATGCTTTCCTGTTGCTCTTTTGAATACATTATTTTATTACGGTAAAATACACGGGAGACTTCCCAACCTACTCCTTGTGAAAGGCGCAGTTCGTAACACTGCATATGCAGCCCGGAAGGCTTCATCCGGTAAAGCCAAAGCCGTGTTCCTTAAACACCCACTCCACAGTCCCCTGCCCGGCTGGCCCGAGCACCACCACTGCTGGGTAGAACGGCAGGAAAAGAACAGACACATAAATCCTAGCGCCACAGAACGACTACTTCCTGCGCTTCCGGAGACTCTGCCTTGGCCACCCTTTCTCCTCCGAGGGCAGCAGCACACCCCTGAGAAGGCCATGCACACCTCTGAGTGGAGAGGGGCACCTGGGTGGAGCCGCACACACCTGCGCAGAGCAGCGGACCCTGGCTCCCGCCCCCTGCGTGCCCTGCCCGCCTCACTGGCGGCTCTCACTGAGCTCTCCTCCCCTGCTATTCTGAATCCCCTGAGGCTGTGCCCCTTCCTCACTAAAGCTTCAGCAACTAAGAAGGCCACTGCACCGGAGACAGACAAAGGCGCCCAGTGTCACCAGGTGTCCACTGAACACACGATGGCCACCTATGGGGCTCAGTTCCCCAGGTCCTCCTGCTGCCCTGCTCACCCTGCCGCAGGCCGGAGTCCCAGCGTGCAGCCCAGGAGTAGGGTGTGGAGGACCACCTGGGCGACTGTCCTTGAAAGAAGAGCAGTCGTCTCCATTTCGGCTGAACCTGGCCGTGTTTCCATGCACTGATGTGTACAGAGCTGGCTGGGACCTTTCGTATCCCTTCCATTGGCTTTAAGCAATGCAAATAGGCCCAGCCGCGGTGCTGATGTGTAGTCTCTGAAGCAAAGACACAGGGCAGAGTTTCCCCACTCCCATAGCTCCCCCCAAAAATGTGTGAGCCAGGGTGAGGCGGGAGGCAGGATGGAGAGCTGTGCTCCACACTGTGGGCTGGGATGGAACCTCGAGCTAAGAGGCTACGACTTCCCAGGGCATAAAGGATCACACATCAGAGCTGAGGCACCGACCCCAAACATCACATCCTACCTCGGTTGTGTCATGCAGGTCACTCTTTCTGCATATCCTTCTCTCTGCATATTGCAGAGGAGATCTCAGGCCTCCTACCTAGCCCAGCTCACAGCACTCACCTACTTCCTGCCACTCTCACAGTCACTCATCCCCAAGCCAATCTCTTCTTCACGAATGAATAAAACCCGGGTTTGGCCCTGGGTGGAGGCCTTTGTTCTGGATGGCCATCATCATGGCTGGACTTGGGACCCCTTGGCTCCCCACAGCTACAAATATGCCTTAGTGTCTTCATTATTCTCACCATGGGTTGCACTGGAAGTGGTAGACTGGAATTAACTCACTAGAATTCCAATAACCTCTCCATGGGATTACAAATATAAACTTCCTGGGCCTCAGTGAGGACCGGGAAGGACTCTCCATACAGCGGTGCTAGAAGGCCCCTCCCCACCCTCTGGCCCAAACCCCCAGGTTCAGTAAAAGCACAAATGTCCACACTGCAGGCTGGAAGGTCAGCACTCCACACCAATCAACCAGGCTGGGCACCAGCCTTCGTCCTAGGACGGTCCCGCACTCTCCATGTGACCCCAGAGCAGGAGCTGTCCTCACTCACCACGCCGCCCTGCCCGAGGGTCGCAGCGCGTGCTGTCCTGGGTGCTGCGGCCCTGTGACCCGGTCCCCAGCAGCCCCACGCCTAGTGCCCAGCCCCACGCCCCGCCATCCGTGGAGGAGGCAAACTCTCCGGCCCGAGGCCCAGCTGCTCTGCTCAGGATACACCAGGCACCTTCAGCCCCGCCCCGTCCAGCTCCACAGGACGGGAGCCCAGACTCCGCGGCCCCTCGGCGGGAGGGGGGGCGGGCAGCCCCTGCCCTCACGGCTCCTGGGTGCTGCTGCTCCCCGAGGGCCCCTGCTGTCCCTCGTCGGACCCTTCCTGGGCAGCACAGGCCTCCGGCCTGACCCCCAACCCTCTGCAGAGTGTGCCCCCGCATGCCCCAGCCTGCTTCCCGCTACCTCTACCTGGAGGCAGACGCTTGGACACCTCAGCTGCAGCTGTGTTGGGGCGCAGGTCGAGGACCCTGTAACTGCACGTCTCACAGAGCAGGCTCCACAGAAAGGCCTGGGGAGGGCAACGCCTGCAGGGAAGTGGGGGGAGGGCTCCCAGCACCTCAGGCTCCCGGCCCCTCTGTGCAAGTGGGACGGAGTCCAGCCCGGCCCTGGGCGCGAGCGCACTGCCTATGAAGGCGCTGAATGGCTTCCGGACGCACAAAGCAGGCAGTGTCCGCAGCCAGGCTTGGGAACCGCAGAAGCCCTCATTTCCCTTTCCCACCCCAGACTGGCAAGAGCCGGCGGGCGCTGGCCTCCTCCGACCATCGCCAAGCCCGGGCTTCCCTCTGCAGCCCTGCAGCCTGCCTGGCTGCACCCCTCACACCCAGCCATCCCAAATAAACCACGCTCACTTTCCAGCAGACACCAGTCCTTCCCCCCACAATGTCCACACAGGGTGCCGGGACGCCGATGAGACCCAGCCCCTTCGTCCTGGGCCAAGGCCCGGTGCTCTCTCTTGGGAAGATGGCCCAAATCGCACAGTCTGCAAGGCCTGGGATCACAGGCAGACCCCGGACA